CTGTGATCAAAATGTCATCCACATAGACTAATATATATATATATATATTGTATGACTTATCATGATCATATCGTGTTGTTGTGAGCACTTATTGATTTATGATGATCTAGTGCACAAAATTGTTGTTGGCATTGTTGAGAGATATAATTTAAATATTTTATTTATTTTATCTGGATGCATGCAAAATATACTAAGCCTGTGCTATTTCTGTGAGTTCACCTTTTGCATGTATGTCTGTGTTTATGTTATTGTGATTATCGTGGCATTCATGTGCATGGGAGCAAATGGTTTGGATGTGTATGTCTTTGATTGAGATTATTTGCACTAGATATTGGACTTCTTCCAAAGTAAGACAAGAAATAAGAGAGATCTCCCCCGACAAAGAAGAACTTCGTTCGAAGACTCTAACAACATTATTTAATACTAATTATATTATATCTAGTTCAAATTATAAGTAATAAATTTAATTTTTTAATCTTAATTATAAATAATAATAAACATTTTTTTTACTTTTTAGAGTTACTTAGGAGTAAATTTCTTTTATATCTTTACTTTATTGTTAACTTTGTTTTTTAATATACATTTACATACTACCTTTTCATTGGATTATATTAACATTAAATATTGTAATCACTTAAAAACAAAGGATGTTTTTAAATAACATTTGAATTAATTTAATTACTATTTTTGGTTTCGGTAATTTTTTCTATATATATTGCTTAATTATAATTAAGACTATATAGGTATTACCGCGATTCAGTATAATATTCTAATTATGACTAGCTCCGGTATAGGAAATTGTTAGTCTTTCTTCGTATCAAATGTCTTAAGTAGGAATTTATGGAGTTTTTTACTCAAATAATATTATTTTAAAAAATATTTACCCAAATAGTAATCGTGTAAATTTATTTTCTCAATTAACACTTTTTACTGTTCACGTTCTAGAACGGGCCGTTCCAGATTAAAAAAAATAACACATGACGAATGGATCAGAACGGGTCGTTCTGGATTCAAAAGATGCACATAGAAAGTTGAACTAGAACGGGCCGTTCTGAATCCGGAACGGACCGTTCTAGCCTACAGATTCAGGTTTTTTTTCCCCTTCGATTTTGACTTATTAAATACAAAAACTTAGAGACTACCATCAAGTGATTAAATTTATTGAATATTATTATAAATATAACTAAATAAATTTATTAAAATTTATTACAACAATAAAGATCAATTAATGGTGGTGTGACGAGGAGTGTGATAATAGGAACAATTTTTTACACGATTATGTTATTCTCTAATGTCCATCTCTGTTCTAATCCTGCTGGACTTTGGCCGACCCTTGAAAGTTCTTTTGCGTTCTAGATTTGGCCACAAAGTTGGAAGAAACAAAACATCCGAGAGAAGTTTGATCCGCTGAGAAATTTACAATAAAGCTAAATGAAATGTGGTATGATTGCTGCAATTCAGAAAGTTCATATCCCTTACTCGCAAGACCCACTGGGAGATTTACAGTAAGGCGTGACTAAGAGTGTGACAATAGGAACAATTTTTTACACGATTATGTTGATGGACATTAGAGAACAACATAATCGTGTAAAAAATTGCTCTTATTGTCACACTCCTGGACACGCCTTACTGTAAATCTCCTAGCGGGTCATGCGAGCAAGGGATATGAACTTTCTGAAACTTGCTACAATTATACTACATTTCATTTAGTCTTATTGTAAATTTCTCAGTGGGTCAAACTTCTCTAGGATTAGAACAGAGATGGACATTAAAGAGCAACATAATTGTGTAAAAAATTGTTCCTATTGTCACACTCCTGGTCACGCCTTACTGTAAATCTCCCAGCGGGTCATGCGAGCAAGGGATATGAACTTTCTGAAACTTGCTGCAATCATACCACATTTTATTTAGCCTTATTGTAGATTTCTCAGTGAGTCAAACTTTTCTCGGATGTTGCGTTTCTTCCAACTTGGCCAAATCTAGAACGCAAAAGAACTTTCAAGGGTCTAGTAGGATTAGAACAGAGATGGACATTAGAGAATAACATAATCGTGTAAAAAATTGTTCCTATTATCACACTCCTGGTCACGCTACCATTGATTTTTATTGTTGTAATGAATTTTAATAAATTTATTTAGTTATATTTATAATGCTAATATTCAATAAATTTAATCACTTGATGGTAGTCTCTGAGTTTTGGTATTTGATAAGTGAATCAAAAAAGAAAAAAAAGCCTGAATCTGTAGGCCAGAACGGCCCGTTCTAGTTCT